AAAAAAAAACAACTCGGGGCGAAGGGTCCTGGAGGAAAGGTGTCCTGGAGGCTGCTCGCCTTTGGGTTCTGTTCGGCCTCCGGGGGCGGGCCCCGGGGCAGCCAGCTCGGCCTCCCGGGGCGGGCCCTGGGAGGAGCCGGAAACCAGCTCGGAGCGCAAATCTGGCCCTGGGGTGCCCCAGGGCCCAGGGCCCAGGACCAAGGGCCCGTTTTCTCCAGCGCCAGTTTCCGTCTGGCCCGTCGCTCCTCGCGAATGGCTACGTTCGGCCTCGGGGCGGGCCGCGGGACAAACCGAAAATCGACTCGGCCCCCTGGGGCGGGCCCCAGGACAAGCCGAAAACCGACTCGGGGCGGGGGCGGAAGTCTGATCCTCGGACTAACCTGGAGGGGTGTGCCGAATTGGGCGTCGGGCGCACGCGGGCCCTGCCGCCGGGGCCATCGGCGGGGTTCTCTGACAGGCCGCGAACTGTTTGAGGGGTGCGCCGACATGGGCGTCGGGCGCATGCGGCCCCTGCCACTCGAGCCTTCGGCGGAACTCCCTATGGGCCGCGAACCGTGCGAGGGGCGCGCCGAACTGGGCGGGCGTCGGGCGCGTGCGGGCCCCGCCGCGGAAGAACCACCAGCCTTCGCCATCGTCTCGCCTTCCCCCCTCCCCCATTCCCCTTTGCCGCGCGAGCTCGGGGTGCCAAACTGCGTCGGGCGGGCCCGGGGGAAATCGGAAGTCCGACTTCGAGCTGACCTCCAAAATCTAGAGACCCCTCCCGGGGCCGGCTTTCCATCCCAACTATTTCTGACGCCCGCGGGCCCCGGCGAAGGCCTCCAGCGGCCAGAAACCTCCCTCGTGAATTTCGCGGCGTCGGAGCTCTGGGGCGGGGCCTCGCGCTGACCTTCGAACGCCCCGGACGCCCGCGCGCCGGGCGGCCGGCGGCGGGGCGGGCTTCGCGGGATCGCGCCCGGCGCCCAGCGGCGCCGCGGGGCGGCCGGCGAGCGGCAGGGCGGCCTCGGGGGGCGGGCCGAACGCGCGCGTCGCTCCAGGGAGAGCGGGAGATTCGACCACACGAGCGGGCCCCCGACGTTTTCGGCCTCTGGCTGCCGTTTCCCGGCCCCCCCCGGGGCCGTTCAGAACGACCCGGGGTAAAACCCCCCCTCCCCCAAAAAAAAAACAAGACGTCGTCGAGACCTCGGGGGCCCCACGCCGACGCAAAACACGACGTCGGGGGCGAGGCGAGGAGGGGGGGGGCGGAAAGAGGAGGAGGGAAGAAGGGGGGGAGGAGGAGGGGGAGGAGGAGGAGGAGGAAGAGGAGGAGGCCGACCTCCGATTTTTAAACCCTGCCCCCCCCACGACGAATCCCCCGGGGGTTATGAAGTTCGGGGGCCGGGGGGATAGCGAATGCACCCAGCCGGCATGCAAGGGAGAAGGAAAGAGGGAGAGAGGGGGGGGCGATGGAAGATAGTAGTAGTAGTAGTAGTAGTAGTAGTAGTAGTAGTAGTAGTCGTAGTAGTAGTAGTAGTAGTAGTAGTAGTAGTAGTAGTAGTAGTCGTAGTCGTAGTCGTAGTCGTAGTAGAAGTAGTCGTAAGTAGTAGTAGTAGTAGTAGTAGTAGTAGTAGTAGTAGTAGTAGTAGTAGTAGTAGTAGTAGTAGTAGTAGTAGTAATAGTAGTAGTAGTAGTAGTAGTAGTAGTAGTAGTAGTAGTAGTACTGTAGTACTGTAATACTGCGAAAATCTTATCCACGATGCGTAACTGTCCCCGGGAAGAATCAAGTTCGGCCTCGCCGCCCCCCCCGCATGTCTAATAGGCGGGGTCCTGGAGATAATCAACTCCGGGCCCTTAAGGGGGGGTGTCTTATATTATCCGGGGGGCGCGGTTAATGCCGCTTTCGGTTGCCCCTCATTTTTCCCGGGGCCCCTTCCCTGGACCTGGACTCACCTGGGCGCGGGGCGGGGTGCGACGTGGCCGAAGAGCGAGTCTGAGAGCCCAGGCCGATTCCGACGGCCCCCGCATATCCCCCAGGCCTACCCGCCTTTTTGGAGCGATCTCATCCACGAAAGTTCAGCACGCGCCGTCGAGATCCACGCGCGCCGTCAAGGCTCGCACGAGTGCCCCACGAATGGGAGAGGCGGGTGGGGTGAGACCACGGCGCACGTGCAGCAGAGCCTTGATGGATGCCAGGCCGCGCGATGCACAATTACCGTGGAGGAAAAGCACGTGCAGAGCGGTCAGGGATGCCAGGCTGCGCGCTGTCCACTTGCCCGCTTGCCGTGGATGAAAACACGCACTGGGAAATTGCCTCAACTGCCTCAATCGACCATGCCCTCGAGATGAAATTCCTGCGCGTAATCGATCTCGTCAGGGAAGGTGCTGATACGCTGCCTCAACTGCCTCACTCGACAATACCCTCGAGACGAGATTCCTGCACATAATCACTCTCGTCGGGGAAGGGTTGCTCTCGTCATCGCCATCGCAGATGTTGAATGCGAAGTCCGCTCCGTAGATGGCGTTTGAGATCCTGGTCATCTGCGCCCTCAACTTGCGCAGAACTTCCTGCCGTTCGAGCCTTTCCTCGACCTCGAGCACACAGGGGGCGGCCAATCTGCGGCGCGCAATCTCGACCAAAGCACGGCGGCGGGTCAGAGCATTACGAACCTCACGAAGTGGAGCAGACTGGGCTTGAAGGACGGCGCGGGTCGTCCTCAGGCGCTCGCTGCCTAGCATGAGGCGCCCGATCGGCGACGCAAGCCTGATGTCCATGAACGCTAAATGGCCTGGCATCATATCACGCGCTGGAGGGAACTGGTTCATGCTGCCAGCCGCAGCAGTCGGAGACACACAGTGCAAGCAATGTAGGGGCGATGCCAAAAAAAGGGTGCAGGTCGATTGAGCCGTGGGCTACGTGCTGCACAAGCTAAGCTCACAACAGCCTGGGACACATCAGACCAATATTATTATCCCGTCGTTCCTAAGCTGGGGTCGATGCCGGCGTCGTTCGGGGTCGTTCCTGGGGCGTGGGGGGGGAGGGGGGGGGGCAGGGGGGCAGGGCCTGATTCATGGGCCGGACCTGATTCAAGGATGTTATGGAACTCCAGGATGCGCATCTGTTCTCGACGTCTCTCACGATATACTGCTGGGCTAACTCGTAGAGCACCTGAAAGCAAGCCCCCAAGTCCCCTGGACCTACGAGGCTTTCGAGCCTAACAGGGTCCTTGCTCACATCTGGCATTCTCGCCTCGTGGCTTTCAATGGCCCCCCGAGGCCTCCGGGGGGGGGCTCCAAAAGTGGCCCAAGAGGGCCCCGAGAGAGCCCCGAGAGAGCCCCGAGAGAGCCCCGATACGGCCCCAAGAGTACCCAAGAGCGGTCCAATAAGCGATATGAAGCGATGCCGAGGGACACTGCTCACGAGCGAACCACGTTTTAAAAATCGACGTCTTCAAGACGGCCCCCAAGGGCACCCAATGCCCCGAAGAGCACCCTCAGAGGGCCCCAAGCGGCGCCCAGGAGGGCCGAAGAGGCGCCCGAGAGGCCTCCAAAAGGACCCTCCCCATGAGGCCCCAAGAGGCTCCCCGAGGTGATGCCGCTGTTAGGGTGCTTGTCGGGCTCGAGGTGGGTCAAGAGAGCCCCGATGGGGGGCCCAAGAGGGTCGCCAGACGGCCCCGAGACCACCGCCCAAGGGGGCCCCCGAACGGCCTTCAGGCGCCCCCGAGGAAGGGACCTGAATTCCTCACCCCTTAATTTGAAGGGCCCGGGTGTCGAAGTAACACTTGTTACAAGTAAGTGATGTGACTCGTATGTTTTGCACTACCGCGGCACACTGAGCACAAATGCTACACGCACGGATAGCTAGGAGTGACGACTAGAAAACCATGGCCACAAGATCCCTAGATCGTCACTCCCAAAACTTAAATGTTCGTTAAAGACTCCTGACCTATCGGGCAAAACCGTCGAACACGCTTACAGCACACAAGGGAGAGAGGAAGGAGGAAGAGAGGAAACAGGAAAGGGGACAACTGCAGGGCGGGGCTGCCCGCCTGGTCGTCATTCACGAGGAGCGGCATGCTCAGCGTGATCTCAAGGCTTGGACTTCCCAGCCTCGGTCTCTGCCATGCTCGCGTCGGGCTTGCAGGACGGCAACGGTGCCGTTTCAAAACCATCCTCGATGGAGCTCGTGAATTCACGGGTCATAATAGACCGGAGACGATTGTACAACTCTGGGTGATACTCAAGCTTGCTGCGAGACTCCTGTAGGATCTCTCCGATGATGACCTCCTGCTCGAAGGACAAAGCTAAACGGCGGGACGTCCAATCTGACGTCGTCACATGCTGAAACCCATGACTGTCACGATGATGGCTGTCCTTCTCCTGTTTCTTGACCTGCTCCAAAGCCTCCTCAGCTGTGGTAGGCTCCTCGTAGTCATGAGCGGCCCATTCCTTCAGCGCGTCGATGGCAGTAGAAGCAGCAGGAGGTGCACCAGCAAACTCACGGTCGTCGCCTGATGAAATGAAATTGGTGAAACGATTCTCGAGGTCGACCAGTGTGATCTCGGCCGCATCGATGATCGCTGCTGGTCCGGTGATCTGTACACACTTGGTCGTGAGTGTGTAGGTCAGGCCGATCTTCTGATTGTCGTACTTGGAAACCAGCAAGACACTAGCATTGATCTTGGCCTTGGTGGAAGACTTGTTGTGGACCACTGCCCCAGCGGTGGACACCTGACCCAAAGTGTTCATATAAGTGCGGCACGTGTCGTGATCGCCAGTAGCCATAAAGTGCACCATCTCTGAGCACCGCGCAGATGGCCGCACACGAAGTGCTTCAAAATGCTTGAGCCACAAGCTGCACGAAAGACGTGCTTGGTATCGGTGTTGGTTGCTCCCACAGAGTAGAACCACTCGTCGCAACTCCTTTTTCCACCAAACAGGCCAGAGCGCACACGCAGGTAACTCTGAAACACGAGAACAAAAAACTGCGAATGACTGAGAACAACTCAGTCCCCTCTGCGGTGATGTCACTTCTTGATGCCCTTCCTCTGCTCCCGCTCCGTCTTCGCCAAGTCCAGCATGAGACTCTCCTCGGAGATCTGGTAGCTTCCGGTCCTGATGACACCCCTGAGCAAGTCACACGTCTCAGCAGTGTCTTTCGTCAAGCCGTCCGCCAGCTGGCGGTCGGTGGGTGCCCACCTCAGTCTTGTCGTGGATCGATCCAAGCCTTCTCGAACAATGACCATGTCAACGGCAACCCTGCGATCCCCAACTGTGGATGGCGATGAAGCGCCAGTGATGTTGTCGCACACGCTCTTGCAGTCGGTCACCGCCAGGCAGGGATGTCGACCTAGAGAGCGCTCACGCGTCTTGATGTCGAAGTCCGCGTAGAGGGCCTCAGCCACATGGCACAACAGCCGTTCCAGGTGACCAATGCCATCAGACCGAGCCTGTGTCTCAGCTGCCAACGTAGAACCCACCGCACGTTTGAGTCGGTATGAGCGCCAGGCTGCCGGACTCCAGGGTGGCTTCTTCCCCTTCCGCCATCTCGCGAGTTGTGAAGGCTAGGATGTACCCAGCCTGAGTTCCGTTCTTGGCAGCGTTCAGGAAGGATGCGTCACCGTGCATGATGACACACAGCTCCTTAGGCGAGATGCTCTTAACGATTAGTATCATATCCTTATGTTGGAGTAGCCGTCGGGCAAGTGCATTGGTCCGTCTGATCTGCCCCACAGTCGGTCGAGGCAGCACGCTGGTGTCTGGTCGTGTCTGACTGCATAGCCAGCCACCCTGATCAAGCAGACGTCGAAGTCCGGCAACTTCCGCTTCAGTAGCTGGTTCATTGTCCGCGACCCGTCGTCGAACGGTCACTGGCTTGAGCTCCTGGTAAGGCGTGGTCTGGCGGATGGAGATGTCGAACGTCGTCGGGTCCTGGTGGAGAACACTGCCACAGTACTCACCCTCACCGACGGCCCGCTTTCATAAAGGGAACTTCCCCTTCAATCTCTGCACCGCCTCCTGGAAATAAATGCCCTCACCTGCGATCAACACATCGTCAACGTGGACCACCAGGATACCACAAAGCCGACATTGAGCATCACGGAGGAAGAAGAGGCAGGGGTCCAAACGTGACTTTGACCACGGCCTGCCCTCGTGAGCCGTCTGATCTGTAAGCCAACCTGAAATCTTTGAATACCACCGGCAAGGAGCGCGGTCCAAGCCGTACAGGGGTAGCACAAATTCCACCACCTGATCAGGATGAAGGCCAGGAAGACCGCCAGGTGGTTGCTTCGCGTAGAGTGGTCCATCCGGTCGTCGTAGCGGGTCGCTCTCCATAAAGGCGCCCCTGATATCTCCGATCTGAAGTCGCCATTGATGAGATGCAGCCAGCTGAAGTGTCAGCATTCGAGCGTTCTGCAATACCGTGGGTGCGGCCGTCTGGTTCCAATAGACGAGCTTGAGAGCGTCCGGGTCCTTGCAACCTCTGGCAACCCAACGAGCCTTTGCCAACTCCTTGCCGTCGGGGTCGTGCTTGGTGGTCTGGACGAAACGTGTGTCAACGAGTCGGTCAGGTCGGGTACGCTTGATCTCACCTGACTCCTTCAGACTGCACACGCGTGCGGCATGCTTCTCCTGGTCCACGGTCTGCCACTCGGTCATCTTGGCGTTCAGGATCTCCTCGATGAGGTCGGGGCGGAGCTTGTCAGTGATCTCCTTGCGACCCTTCGCCAGCAATGCCTCGTAGCAGGGCCCGCCGGTGCGCGCCATGGAAGTCAGGCAGACATCAGCAGCGATGATCGAGTCCTGACCCTCCGTCTCAGCCTCTGCCACTAGCTCGTCGCGCTCCGGATCGGGGTCCAGGAGCGCATGCCGAGCATCAGCTGGCCGAGTCGGAGACTCCTCGACTGCGGGCTGCACACCAGTAGTAATAGCTTGACCAGATGCCGCCGATGATGCGAGACCCTCAGTCGGGACCGCTGTCTTCCCCTGAGGCGTTTCAAAGGCTTACCCTCGATGTCGAACCCGCGTCGGGCAACTAGGCTCGGGTCTTGCAGCTCGTCGATCTTTCTCTTGGCGGCCTGGTCCACCTCGAGGTTGTCGCCCCCAGGGGCTGGTACCAACACATCGTCCGTCGATCCAGCATCAAGTGGAGGTCGGTCCGCCGGTAGAGCGGGCCCGTGAGGTAGAGCAAGCTCGGGGCAGCCGGGCAGAGGTGCCGGCACCACGATGACACTACCCTCGCCCGATGGTGCCGGAGCCTGTCCTTGATTCTCAGCAGGCAGGTCCACGTAGACGGAGTTGCCTTGCTTTCCTTTGAACTTCTCTTGGGCGGCCCTGAACTCTTGACGCACATGCCAGTCTGCCCGCTCCTCCTCTCGGGTAGCATGTCGAAGATGTTCGGGAGCCGCTCGAATCAGGGCACCTGCGTGTGATAACCAATAGTGTCCGTTTTCCTCGCCAAGGACCGTAGCCCTTCCATGTCAGCGCGCATTATTATTGCCATCCTTCTGCCGGCCCTTGCTTCGACCTCGCCGCCAGTAGGCGACCAGATCACCTGCTCGAAATTATCGGAGAGGTCGGGGTCGAGCGTCCAGGGCCGTTCTCATGGCCTCATCGTCACTGTACATCAGGACGGCCATGCGGGCGGCAGTCCGAACTGCCGTAGCCCGCTGGTAGACGTCGCTGTGTAGTGCCAAACTGTTCGCAACAATGTCAGGTGAGTCCTTGAGGAGGTCGGCCGGGAGAGGAGGATCCCGTCCGAACACATGTTGGCACGGACTGTGCCCATGCTTCCTCAAGAGACGGTTCTTCTGATCGCAGACCATGCCGACGCATTGCTCCCACTCCCGGTGATTCTTCGGCTGGACAGTCTCGATCACCTTGCTCAGGATGTTGGCGAACCAGGAGCCATGTCTCTCAGCCTTTCCGAGTAACCAGTGAGCTTCGCCTGGGATGACGTCAAAGTCCACTCCGTCGCGCCCCAGCACCTCGGACATGATGGCACCGGTGTTGGCCCGGGCCGAGTCACACTTGGCCCTGGCCAGTGCTCCGCGGGGCCATCGCCAGCCCACGTCCCAGGCCTTCCTGAGAGTCTCACCGTTCTCCTCATTACCCGTCAGCGGCATCATCTGTTGGAGAGAGCTGGCGCCATCCACAACGCTCAGAGCGGCCCAGGTCTTCCCAGAGATGTAGTACGGCAGCTCCCTGACGTCGAAGCCCACCTCGGACAACGCCTGAATGTCTCTGGGAACCGTCGCTGGCCGTGGCAACTTGGGAGCTCGGTTCAATTCACATACGTCGCACTTGAAATCCCGTGCGATGGCGATGGCCTCCTCGGTCGCGTTGCCATGCTTGAGGATGCGGATCAGGTCCCCGACCGCTGGGTGGCCAAGGTTGACATGGCTATTGCGAACCGCTGTCTCCAGCTTCCGCCGTCGATCTCGAACTTCGGCTTGGGATTCTGGCGGCTCCTCCACGTCCTGGTCGGCCTTCTTGCGCCTCTTGGACGCGGCAAACACCTCCGTCATGAGAGATTCGTGAGTGTGGACCTCGACCAAGCCCTGCCAGAGCACGGCCCTCGCCTGCAGCGACTCCTCGACCTCCACCTCGGAAACCAGAACTGCCAGCTCCTTGGACATCCCGTTCACGATAGCACGAACCAGTGCAGGGGGATAGCGCTGAGAAGCTGCACTCCGTCGTTCACCTCCAGCTCCTCCTTGAATCATCTCTTGGTGGAGGTCGCCTGGGCAGCGCCGAGGCAGAACCTGAGCCAACACCCGACTCGAGGTGATGAACCTGAAGGCCTTGCGATAGGGCTTGCCACTGATCGCATCATGATAACCATATTGACAGCCATGGCCAACTGCTTCATACACACAGTCCTGACACCTTAGTTTGATCATCGCGGGCTCGTTCCACGACTGCGCCGACCGCGGCTGCTCGATATAGAAGTGACGGCCGTGAGCCAGTTGATATTCGGCAACCTGAACCCACAGTCGAAGTAGGAGCCGAGCGCTTGCTAACCGTCGCTGGTACTCGGGAGTATCTCTTTGCTTGTTCATGTACTGCAGCTTCAGCCAGTTGTCGCCGCATTTCTCGACGGTGATCTGTACGCAAGAGGTCCCAACAGGTGGTCAGGTCCAGGGCCTTGGTTGGGCCCAGACCTTTGATCTCGGCCTTCGGACCCACTCGCTCGGGGCTGAACAGCTCGAAGGGTCCCGCGCGCCGTAGCTGCGCGGTGACCGTAGCGATGTCCTTCACCAATCGTCGTCGCTGTCGGCGGGTGAGCTGGCCAGTGGCACTGCCCGATGGGCGATATGCCTCCGCGAGCTCGTCGACCAGGTCCTCGATGATCCCAGCGCCACCCTCAGCATCTGCAGTAGACTCAACACGGTACTCGACATGCTCCTGCCGGTCAGCTGGCAGAAGGTCGAGATCCGCTGGTGCTATCGTCGCCACGCACCGATCATGGTTGTCGCCGAGAAAGATGCGGGCAGCATCCTCAACTTCCCGTGGAAGTGTAGGTGGTGGACCACCAGCCCTGTCGCACATGGTCATGTCCTCGGTGTCGCCGGCCGACCCCTCGGGAGCAGGGATCACGTTCGGCTGCTTCTCCGTCGCGGCGACCGTCATGTAGATGGTGACCTCAGGGTCGCTGATCATCGGGCCCAGGCTGCCCTGGAAACCCTCGGGGTCGAACTCGGTCACGGAAAGAACGTAATGACCACCAGCTCCTGTGGGAAGCGTGCACTCCGGCAGATCGGCGATAGTCACTGTGTCCCTCGCGGTGTTAATCTGGGACATCATGGCCTCGATCTGCTGCTTGGACATGAGAGAGGGCGCCGAACCTGGCACCAGGGACCACTTCGTGACTGCGCTCCTGCCCAGGATCCCGCTCGGCAGCAGCACCTCGCCCACTGACGACTGGCTGCCATCGTTACCGAAGCGAAAAGTAACCTGCGGGGCATCGGGTAGATGTACTGGCTGTAGTCCATGATCTCGTCGGAGTCGTCGGCAGTGCTGCTTGAAGGTCTCCGTGCCCACCATGCCCTTGGCGCGCCCAAGGTCCAGGATCGCGTGACCTGGCGTCGACGAGAGTAAAACATCCTTTTCGATCTCAGGCCTCCGATCCGGCCCTAGTGAAAATGGTTCTTCTGGATCGTGGCACTTAAGATCTCGTCGAACGTCATGTTTCCGATGGGCTTGGTGGATGTCGGCACATTTTAAAAACATTCTGCGAAGAACTGACTCTTCGCCGGTTCGGTAGAGCTCGTACCTGCCGTGGATTTGCGAGGCTCCTTGCAGCCCTTCTGAAAGTGACCGATCTTCCTACAGTTGTGGCACCTCACCCTTGGACGATACGTCTCTAGGTTCGGCTTCGCGAAACCTCGACCCAACTTGACATGTCCGTGTAGCTTCCGCTGCTCCTTCCATGAGATCAAGGCGTCGATGAGGTCTCGCTCATCAACTGGTGGGTCGGCATTGTCATGCACTCCGTGGTCGGCCAGCAGCGCGTCGCGCTCTGGGTCGCCGTCGTCATCCTCGATGGTCCCGTCGCCGTCGATCTCCTGCTCGGCCACGAAGGCCTTGTGGTGACCCTGACCGCCGGTAGCCATCTTCCCCAGGCCTGCCCGATACGTGGTCCTCGGAGCTCTCGCGACGTCGGGCTCTCGCCATGAGCCGTGGGCTGCCGCCATGACGACCGCCTCCTTCTCTGAGTCCAGGTGGCAGCCCTCGAGAAGCATGATGCCGCGCGCGATCTCTGGCAAGACGAAGCCCTCGCGCTCGGCGTCAGCGAAGATGGCCCTGGCTCGGGCCGTGTATGCATTGGCCTCCTCATGCTCGTGAGTCTCGAGCCTCAGACAAGCACGCATCACCTCCCCGAGCCGGTCTAAGGCCGGGAGGTCGGGGCACCTGTCGTCCAGGATGGCAAAGATCACGTCGTCTCCGCCAGCCTGCTCTATGAGGTCGTCCTCGACGTCCTTGATGGCCCTGAAGGCCGCGCCCGTCAGGAGGGTGATCAGTGCTGAGCCTCGAGCATCCTCGTTGATATTCTTGGACTTGATCCATGCTCTTGCCCACTTCCTCCACGCCTTGTACTCGGTGGGCTTCTCGCCCGAGAACCTCCTGACGGCGCCATTCTGATCGTCTGAGCCGGCCATACCGATGAAGATGTTGGCAGAACTCCGCGCTCTGCTGGTAGTTGCAATTCAGAGGCGTCACCGCGCCGATGGGAAAGAAACCGATGTGCACGCCTCGCGCACAGAGAAACAAAACACGCTCCGCTCTACCAATGTCGAAGTAACACTTGCTACAAGTAAGTGATGTGACTCGTATGTTTTGCACCACCGCGGCACACTGAGCACAAATGCTACACGCGCGGATAGCCAGGAGTGACGAAGAGAAAACCATGGCCACAAGATCCCTAGATCGTCACCGGGGGCCCAAGATCGCCCCTCAAGAACAACGACGCCCCCCCCCCCCCCCCCCTTCCCCCAAAGGGCCCCAGGAGGGCCTCAAGACTCCAAGGATCGAGGGCCACCAAGAATCGGGGGGCCCGGCGGCGACGAATTGGGTTCCAATTCGCTAGTCGGTGCGCTTTGGATGCCGCTTCGCGCCCCCCGGGCCCCTTCAAAAACGACGAACTGGATTCCAGTTCGCCATTGTCCGCGCCCTCGAGAGGACCGTGCCCAGAAGACGACGAAGTGGATTCCAGCTCGCGCCCGGAGCCTCCAACGCGACGACATGGATTCCAGTTCGTCCCAATATGGCCCCCAAGAGTCCCGCGACCACCACGCGCTTGTCATCGTCCGTATGCGTCGACACTTCCGAGACCAGTGGAACTCACCCCAATCAAGGCGACTCACCTGGCGATCGTTCCTGGATGGGCTGATCGTTCCTGGATGGGCTGGCGCTCCGAACATTCAATAGGACTGCGTTCTCAGCCCCGCATCGGATCTCCCTCGGGAGCCAAGCGGCGGACGCATATTTCTCCCCGAAGCCGCCGCCAAGGCCTGCTACGGCCTGTCTGCGCCCTGTAGCACGTGGATCGCACGCGAAATAATAACATAAGCGCAAACTATACAGAGGTCCGCGCGGATGCCCTGGATCGGCGCCGGCCCCCCCCGGCGGCGCCCCCGGCGCCGCCCCTGGATGCGGAATCCAGCGCCGGCCCAGGAAATCCGCGCGGACCTCGCACAAGTACGCGCGCACGTCGTGACTCCGGCGGGGCTCTGCGCCGGCGGGGAGGCGAGCCGATCGCCTACCGCGCGCGGCGCGGGCGGCGCCGAGGGGCGCCGCCGGCGTTGCACCGCGGGGCGGGGCTCTGCGCCGGAGGGGGGGCGAGCCGAGCGCCCACCGCGCACGGCGCGGGAGGCGCGCGCGGCGCGGGAGGCGCCGGGGGGCGTCGCCGGCGCGGCTCCGCGCGCACCGCGGCTGCCACGAAACGGCGGTCGGAAACATCGGAAAGACCCTCCCCCTCCTCCTCCTTCTCCTCCTCCCTCCCTCCAGCCCACTTGGGCGCGGCGCCTCGCGTCTTGCTGGTGATGAACCGGGGGGGGCCGCCCGCGTTCCCTCCGCGCGCCTAGCTCAACCGGATCTCGCCGTCCTTCGGGACGATCACCTGCTTCTTTACGTAGACGACCACACCGGTGGGGTGCACCTCCCCCTCCTCCGCGTTGAACCCCACCGACCAGGTCAAGCCGATGGGCGCGTTGTCCTTGCACGACGCGATCACCTTCAGGGCGTCCCCGGTCGCGCTCACCTTGTAGCAAGTGGCCGCTAGCTTCAACTGCGGGGGCGCCGCGCCACGAGCAAACTCCGGCGTGTGGCGTGACGCAGTCTTGGCGCCCTGCTCCTTGATGTAGTCTGACAGCATGGCGGGCGCGTCCTTCGCGAAGACGAGACTCTTCGCCGGGGTTGGGAAGTTCCAGTCCAGACAGTCCCAGGGAAAGGGGGGGCGAGTGGGCGGGTTCTGCGGGAGGGCGGGTTCTGCGGATGCCGGCAGGGAATCGCTGGAGTGACCCAAGAGGGCGACCCAGGAGACCCGGCCCCGAGGCGGCCGGCGACCCATGAGGGCGACCCGCGGCCCACGCGGGCCTGGATACACGCCCTTGGGAGGGCCCCCGGGGCCAAACTCGGAGCTCTGGGCGAACTGGAGGCCAGTTCGCACCATCGCGCCGCGCAGGGGGGCGGTCCCAAGAGATCCTCATCGACGGGCCCAGGGCCCTGGGGCGCGACCAGGGGGCCCGAACTGGAACGGGGCGCGCGGCATTGGCCCTGGTCGGCGCACTGTGCCGCCATTGGAACACAAGCGAGCTCAATAAAATTCCGTCGCCAAGCAAGCCCCCGGGGTCGTCTTCCGACAGTCCCGGGCGCGCCCGTTCCACGCGGCCCCCCGAGAATGCGACGGTGCAACGGGCGTCATTCCAATGTCGGGCCCGGGGTAAAGACCCTCGAAATCGTCGACTTGCGGCGGGCACTGGGGCCGCGGGGGCGCGGTGCGTCCAAGGTGGCACGATTGCGACGAATCCCCACGGGCCCCCGTCGGTGTTGGCCATCGCGCCCGTGACCTTCCACAGGAGCGTCTTCGGGGGGGCCTTCATGTTCGTGCCCCACTTGGCGCCCTCTGGCGGCCGCAGCGAATCAAACCACCCGGCTCTGGGCGCCGCGTGAACTCAGCGCCGGCGCACGGGGGGGCCCCAAGCACGACGCTGATGACCTCTGCGCCCTCGGCGCCCCCTGTTGCCCCCCCGGCGGCCTTCCTGCGCGCCACCTCGGCCGCCGCCTTCTTCCTCTCCTCCTCCGCCTTCTTATCCTCCTCCGCCTTTTTCTTCCTCTCCTCCGCCGTTTTCTTCTTCTCCTCCTCCGCCTTTTTCTTCTTCTCCTCATCCGCCTTCTTCTCGCTGTCGTTCAGTTCCGGCTCCCCCTCCCCAGCCTTTTTGGCCGCCTCCTCCTTGGCCCCCTCGTCCGCCTTCTTCTTGGCCTCCTCGTCCGCCTTCCTCTTGCTCTCCACCTCCTCCTCCGCCTTCTGTTCTTTCTCCTCGTCGGCGGCGGCCTCCCTCTTCATTTTCTCCTCGTCGGCGGCGCCCCCGGCAGCGGAGGCCGAGCCTGGCTGCCCCTCCGTGGGCTTCGCGCCCATCAAGAATCGATCGAGCATGCCCCGGAACCGCTTCGCCGGGGGCTCTGTCACGTCGGCGACCGCGGAGCAGCCCCAATCGGCGCCGAAGTTCGCCACCGCGATCGACTTCGCGGCGACCCCGGCGCGGTTGCGCACGCACGCATCGAGACGCATGAACCCGTCCGAAGCGCCCACAGAAGGATCCGCAACCAGCATCGCGTTGGGCCCCCCCCCTCCCCTCCGGACCCCCAGGAAGTGGCGCGCGAAGCGACCCGCTCCGACCATGGCAGCGAGGACGTCCTGCTTGCTCGTGTCTGCGGCCTGCTCGTGCACAGTAATGCCAGAGATCCTGACGAGGCGGTCGACCAGCACCTTGTTCCCGCTCGTGGACAGGAACGTCTCTAATTTATCCTGGGAGTCGAAATGCAACGACGGCACGTGGCAGAGCGTCTCGCCCCCCCTCCGGGGCTCGGCGGAGAACAGGGACATGATGCCATCGTCCGCCTTGGCCACGCGCCATTTGCACTCCTCGAGGTCCTCGGGCGCCATCTCTGCACTCTGGCAAATACAAAGCCGCCCGCCCCCCCTCCCCGCCCCGCCCCCCCCCCCCCGGCCTTCTCCCAGGGCCTGAACTCCCCCGTTCGTCGAGCTGCATCTGACCGCGGCGGCGAAGGTCCGAAGCCCGGGCGCCTCGGGACGGGCCAGCGCGAACTCGCCCTCGGGCCCCTCGAGCGGCCTCCAAAAAGGGCACGCCCCGGCTCGCATTGCCGAGACAGGGGCTGGCGGCCAAGGGGCCTTGCAACGCGGCGGCCCACGCGGGCCCCGAGGGGCCAAAGGGGCCCCGAAAGGGCGAACTGGAATACAGTTCGCGTCGCCGCGCCCCGCCCGGGCGGGCCCCGATGGGGCCCCGAAGGGGCGAACTGGAATCCAGTTCGCGTCGCCGCGCCCCGCCCGGGCGAGCTCCGATGGGGCCCCGAAGGGGCGAACTGGAATACAGTTCGCGTCGCCGCGCCCCGCCCGGGCGGGCCCCGATGAGGCCCCGAAAGGGCGAACTGGAATCCAGGTCGCGTCGCCGCGCCCCGCCCAGGCGGGCCCCGAGGGGCTCCGAAGGGGGGAACTGGAATCCAGTTCGCGTCGCCCCGCCCCGCCCGGGCGGGCCCCGAGGGGCCCCGAAGGGGCCAGCTGGAATCCAAGTCGCGTCGCCGCGCCCCGCCCAGGCGGGCCCCGAGGGGCCCCGAAGGGGCGAACTGGAATCCAATTCGCGTCGCCGCGCCCCGCCCGGGCGGGCCCCGATGGGGCCCCGAAGGGGCGTGCTGGAATCCAGGTCGCGTCGCCCCGCCCCGACCGGGCGGGCCCCGAGGGGCCCCGAAGGGGCGAACTGGAATCCAGGTCGCGCCGCGACGCCCCGCCCAGGCGGGCCCCGAGGGGCCCCGAAGGGGCGAACTGGAATCCAGTTCGCGTCGCCGCGCCCCGCCCAGGCGGGCCCCGAGGGGCCCCGAAGGGGCGAACTGGAATCCAGATCGCGTCGCGACGCCCCGCCCAGGCGGGCCCCGAGGGGCCCCGAAGGGGCGGACTGGAATTCAATTCGCGCCGCCCCCCCCGCCTGGGCGGGCCCCGAGGGGCCCCGAAGGGCGAACTGCGTCGCCACGCCCCGCCCGCGACCCCGAAGTGAACATGGGCCCGCTCGACCCTCCGGCGCCCGGGTCCGATGCGCCTCGGCGCTTGGGCGCGGGGCTAGGGGGGGTGGGGGGAGGGGGGCGTGCCTCGGCTGGCTGTTCGGTGGTTTCGTCGCTGCGCCCGGGCGACTCGCCCCCCCCCCCCCCGCCCACCCACCCCACCCCCCCTCTGGGGGCCGTTTCCGGGCACTGGGGCCGGCAAAATGAGCCCGGGGTGGAAAGATGCACCCCGGGAAGCCCCCCCCCCCGCCCTTCCTTCTCTTCTTCCCCCATCGACCCCGCAGCGCCCGCCCGCTTTGCTGGGGCGCGCGGTCCTTCTGCAGCAGGGTGATCATCTTCGCCTCCAGGTTGGTCGGGTTCAAGTTGAAGCCCTGGCGCCAAGCCGATGACGCAACCGGCAT